TGAAATAAAGGCTCTATTTAAGACCATTTTTTTCAAAATGTAATCAGATTTGGAACTGGTTTCATTATTTAATGCTTTCCACATAAAAGGAAAGAGAAGTCGTGGGTTTGGGTGAAAATTAGTAGTAACAAAAGGAAATATTCCTAGTAGAAAAAAATATACATGTAACATGAATGACTAATATCAATAACTAAGGCATAAAAAATTGCTAATGTACAAATTTGAAAAGATATCAAAGGAAATGCAAAAACTAATAGAGCTTGGTTCCTGCTGTATGTGTATTACTTTTGGGAGAGACCAAACTCTCCCCTCTTGAAAATCAAAATGTTTAAATGACATTTAGTGTGTAAGGTATGTTTCAAATACATTATTTTGCTAACAATTGTTATTTTGGTCTCTTAAAAGGTTGAAAAACCCAATTGTACAGAGGAATCAAGTGTTCCAGAGGAGTTAAGAAAATGCAAAAACTGCATCCTTCAAGTACACAAAATTAGTCTTTGCATTTCCTTTAATCAAGAAAGTAAAACATAACAATATTAGCTATAGCTGAAAATTTTTTGCATACTCTTCAAAAAGTCAAAATATATATACAAATTATACAGAATATATACAATTTATTATTTGCAAAGACACACAGTTTGCTAGTCAATAAATTATCTTATTTAAAAAAATGTACACGAAATCATAAAATATTATTATCAAAAGAATAAAAAACAAAAATGTGCAAGAAACAGGTGTTAATGTATTAGTATATTTAAATATAACAATTTGTTATTTCAATCAACATTTGATTATTGAACTTGTTTTGATATATAAATATAATCTGTCAATTATGTTTGAAATCAAAAAATAGCCTTTTTTCAGGTTGCGTAGGTAGAAAATTCAGATACTTTTTTGAAGAATTAATTTCATTACGACCATTTGCCTAGATGAAACGAGACAAGAAAGGATAACCCATGGACTTTGCACGTCTTTTAAACATTTTCGCTAAAATGCGACCAAGTGACCAAAATAAGATTAGGTACTATCAAGACCAAAACAATTATTAGTGAATGGCCCGAAAAAATCTGAATGTATTCATGAGTAAGATTACTGTAATTCCTAATAAAAAATAAGTTCCCAGAAATTGGGCGAAAAATAATGAACACACAATTGAGCAGAATAACTATTTACAATAACAGTAAAAAATCATTAATTATTATTAGTAAAAATAATGTGAAGTTTTAACAGAAACTTGTTTGATTCTGGTTTGATGTGTGATGGTTTGACAGGGATAACCATTATTCAAAAGTTGATTTAAATATTTCAAAATTTGACTGATGCCAAGTATTTGTTCCACTTCAAATGCACTATTTGAAGTTTGAAGAAACATGAAAAATTCCTCCAGAATCAAACAATATTTCATGGGTGACCGCTTGGAACCTTGTATAACGATATATGACGCGAAATTACTCGAGAAAAACGCAAAAAACTATTTGTACTCGTATAATAGTACAGTATACAAGTTGAAACATTGAATGTCGTATAATAATATATTTTATGCAGTTTTAAAACTGACTGTTTAAATACGTGTTATTTAATTGATGGTTTATGAGTTCAAGAATAAGAGGTTTTGATCACAAGATCCACGCTTTTATGAGCTTTCAAATGGTACCAAAAAGTCAAAATGACCAAATATGGCATATACAAGGTTTCAAGCGGTCACCCATAATTTGTAACTGGTCTAGTAAAAATGAGGTGTTGAAAATATCAGCAGTGGTGCAGAACTTGAAATATCACCAGTTAGTTTAACAAGAAAAATGAACTTGGAACCTGAAATTAGACATACTAGATTAAATAAGTGAAAACTCATATAATGAAAAAATAACAAATAACTCTCGGTTATTGTTTCACAGAAATTCTATCATTTTCATAGGCACAAAATACATGTACCTCAATGTAGTAAAAACTATTCAAATAGTGTTTGTATAGAAAATATTGTAATGAACTTAATGGAATGGATCAAGCTAGACAATTTTTCTGCTGGTTTCTACACCTCCCATGTATGAAATTTTTGATCACCACATATTCTGAGACATCAATTAAACACCAACAGAAAAATCTTGAAATGCACCATTCAACATTGAAATTTAAAGCACAAATTTCAAAAAAATATTGTTTTCATGACCAAACCAAAGAATAGAACAAAAAATTATGTAGAAGCTCTAAGGACAGAAGGAGATCAAAAAAGTCTCAAACCAATTTGAAGATTTCATCATATTAGCAATTGAAATGGTGCAAATACATGCAGCAATGAATGTCATTATCTGAAAGGTTAGAAAACTTTGGTGCACTGAAACCTGCTCATTTTTACAATTTCACCATTAACCTTAATTTCAGTCCAATTCTGCTCAAAATTAGATTCTCAAACAATCTGACTGAGATCCATAACAATATCACTGTCAGTCAAATATCTTTCAGCCTAGTTACTGGAACTATTTTAACCCTGTGTCACTGAGAGACCAAATTATTTTGATTCCTGGCAACCTTTCATTGTCTTCACCATCTTTATTCCACTATCACTGTCCTCACAGGGTCACAGAAACAACTTCTTTATTGTAAACATTAATTTAAGTTGCAATTTGTCATGAATTTATGAGCTACATTGGATGCTGTATAGAGAATTCAACCCGCATACTTCAAACAGGATAAAGGCAAGAATCATTCAGAGTAGTTCAACAACAGTTTTCTTTTCTTTACTTTTCAAAAGTCTGTGTTGATCACCTTCATTAAATAACAACAAAAGCAAACGGACGATTCTTTGGCTGAATAGCAAGAGACAAATGAAAAGCACTCGACAGGCGTTAATGGATGACAGTACACAATGGGTTATTGAAGTCAACCACATGGTCATTGTTGGACAGCTCATAGAGAAAATTGTTTGTCAACATCATTATTGTAATATTTGACAAAAAATACCGTTTTTTGATTGTAATCCCAAATGGAAGTGATTAACTCTTTTCCTTAGACTTTTCTTGTTTTTAATTTGAGAAGATTATCAATTAAGGGAGATAATTACCATGTTGAACAGTGATGAGCATATTCTTATTGGACAGTACTAGAAGATTTATGAGTCCACAGAGATTAAAGCATTGTCAAGGGATTTACAAATTAGGCATAATCATTACTTAGACAATATGATTTCTGGTCTTGACATAATAAATCCAATTGGTACCAAAATTGTAGAATGAAACAAGTAAAAATTAATTCTCTTGCAACAAGAAAAGGACATAACTTCTTTTTTTCTCAGAATTCATTGTAAAAGAACGTTACAAAAAAAAAAAAAAAAAAACGTTATGGATTATTTCACTGTCAACGAATGTAAACAGTTTTCTATTTTCTGCTGGACAGAAATAACATGTTCTGCTCCTTTTACAGTTTTCTATTTTTGTGCTGAACAGAAATTACATGTTCTGCTCCTTTTGCAGTTTCTATTTTTGTGCAGAACGGAAATTACATGTTCTGCTCCTTTTGCAGTTTCTATTTTCTGCGCAACAGAAATAACATTTTCTGCTGGACTGCTGAAACAACATTTAACCATATGGGGACCATTTGACAAAAACAATAACCAACTTAAGCTGCATATGATGGTATTAAATACGTCTTAGAAAAATTTATCATACACCCCTATCACCCCTATCAGTCCTTCCAAATTAGTTTTGTAAATAACAATCAAGACATTGCTTTGCCATATAACATTTCGACTATTCAAAAAGTCTCAGAAACTCAAAGAAATATGTTAATTAATAAAGCCTAGATCATTGTGAAAGTTTTGGAGAAATGGATTTGTTTATACTCCAAGCAATTTAATGAAGTAGTGTCATGTTTTGTTTTTGTGTGAACCAGCATGTAATTAGAAAAGATCATCTGTGCTAATTTTTCAATTATGGAGATTAATTTCTATTGGAAATAAATCACTCATTTGACACATTTTATAACGTCTGCAGTAGCCAAGACAAGTTTTTTCTTACTTAGTGATGCTGCTATAATTTCAACATAGCGCAAATTTAAGAAAGATACTTATACAGTTTTGTTCATTTTGATGCTGAAAAATATCTTAACTTAAGACAGCTAAAATTACATTTAGGCCTATGTACCAGGCTTTAGATATTTGTAATATTTGGATTCCCAGCGAATATTCAGGAACATTAGGAATTATATAGGAACTTTCCTCAAAAAATTATAGTCTCTGTCTATTGTTTATACATTTAATTTTGTCGCATATTTTTTGTCCATTCAGAATGTTGTTTTGTATTATCTAAATAATATATATATATGAAATAAATATTATTGCTTACGTATGTAAACTCTCCAAGGTCTCGCCAGATCCCCCAAAAAAAAACTGAACAACATGTGATCCTCAGATCAACTATAGTCATTTCCTATGTCAAATCAAACATATATTTCCTTCAAATTCAATAACTATCTAGACCTTATTGACCAATACCAAAGCATATCTTAGCATCCAAAATTAAAAGAACTGAACTCTTAAATTAGGACCAACACACAGACCAGCTTGTACAATAGAATTGAAGGTTCCCAGGAAGATGATTCAACCACAATCATTTTCTGTAGTTCAAAATCTTGTTCAAAAATGTTTTAGTTCTACTAATTTACCGTTTTAATTGGAGTAGGTCATGTTTTCTGTGGTTAAAAGAATTCGACTTTTTACTACTGAAAACATAGCCTCTGAATCTTCCGACAAAAATTAATGAATTTCGAAACCAATTGCGTAGATTGTTTACATTTTTATGAAAAATTCCATTTCGAATTTTGTGTTTTTACTCATTTTGAGCCAGTTCATGGAATAACATACACTCTTAACTATAATATACAGCATTTATTCTTTTACTCACCTAGTATCAAACAGTACTGATGGAAGCTTTAGAAGATATACTAGTGGAATCATCTATATCACTCTGACTTAACTTCAACTCAAATTCAAACGCATCTTCTTCTGCCTTCTCCTTTAATGCCATTTGATAAGCTATTTCAAACGCTTCACCTAATGTCAGTATGATCTCGCCAGCAAGTTCCTGAAAATATATAGTCAAAATCTTCCCTTATCCAGTTAACAAAAGGAAATTTAAATTTGGACTGAACATATTCTATCAATGTATAAATAAGAACAAATAAATATCATTTTTGTCCAACATGACAAAGGACATCTCCTTTCTACCGTGCGCAGTCAAATATTCCTAAATCCAGAATGGTGTACAGTTAAACATATAAACAAGGAGGAAACTTCAAAATATATAAATCCACAAGCCAACAAAATCAATGAGCAATGCTGGATCATTTATGATGGAAATAAATGACAAGGCAAGATATAAGTGTTTTTCTGACCAATATAATGCCATCACCAAGATAGCATCTCTTAACAATATGGATTCAATATGCAAATGACAATGTAAGCATTAATTTTCAAATTTGATGCGCTTCTCACTAATGCTTGAGTTACATGCATTAAACATGATAACTGAAACTTAATCAAAACCAAAGGAGAACACTGTGAATACATAATTCACTTATATTTCAAGTACTAACAATTTATTCATCAAAACAAGGTTATCTTTTAATAAATAGAGCATTCTTCAACATCAAGTGTCCTGTTTTCAACAGCCTGTTGTATGGCAACATTGACCACTTCACTTTGTCATAATCTGTGAATTTGTGGTAACATTTTGCAAGATTGCTATTGACCTTCAACAATACTGGTTTAAACTCATCCCTCTTAATTTGGTCATCAATATTAACCTTTGACCTCATCTATTTTGTCAATGGTATGAATCTAAGCCACCTCATGAGTTGACCATTACGACAGCCATGATTAGAAGGGAGATAATTGAGGTCATTGTTTAGTTCGTCAGCCCCATACATCTGCTCGTCCATCGTCCACTTTTGTTATGGAAGAGAATGACCGCTTGTAACTGGTCAATATAGTGGACATTGAGTTTTATTGGTGTAGGGGAATTAATTAAAACTGGCCTAGAGGTGTTTTGGTTGTCCCGTCCACTCTAATGATGTCTTGTTGTGGTCAGTGAGGTAGAAGAGAGTGGACAGTGGTCACTCATCAATCTTTAGGCTACTGACCATCTGGGACAGGTGATAAAAGTTACATGAAAAATTATATTACAATCATGCTGGTCATAGGATGATTAATTGAATTCTTAGGTGATGGGTGTCATTTCATTGTCACTTCTGGATATATATATTTTTTTTTTTAAATTTCAGATTTGTCTTGTCTTACTATTCTATTTATTTTCAATTCACGATGCCACTATGTGATTGAGCATTTCAAGTTTACTTTATTAATGTCCACAAAATCATAATCATGTAAGCCTACATGTTTATCACATTAGATATAATGATAAAATGGACACCTGATAATTCTATGTGCTTGAGACTTTCATACAAAGACCTAAATCACTATAGCAATACATCAGCCTAGACAAATACTTATAATTCTCATTTCACACCAAATTACCATTGTCCATCAGGTGTAAAATTTAGTCTTATTAGCAGTTTGTTTAGTAAAAGCTTCAAATTCATCATTTTCTCCAACTGTTACTTAGTATGTAAATCATTTTACTTTGAGACATATATTATATGTAGATTTTGACCATTAAAAAGTACAGTTAAGCTTTTCTACAATGATGACAAGGGTATCTTGTCACTGTCCAAATGGCAGTACTTGCAGATAGTCAGATGATCTTGAAGCTGTCTGAAGATTTTTAAGTTCTTAAAGTAACATTCCTGAACTTCCATGAAGAAATTGGCATGAATTCAATGAGATGCAGAGGAAGGAAAATAGCCAAAAAAGTCAAAAGCCAATAGTAGCTTTGTGGACTCCCCAAATGAGATGCGTCACAGAGACGAATCAGGTAACAAGGATAAGTCAGAAGGCCTTGTCTTCACAAACCACAGTGCTTCTCTCAGTAGGGATCCCAAATAAATAGTCTGAATTGCATAGCTAAAGCATCTCAAAACATTATTTTATAAATATTGCCTGTAGGGCAGCCATTGTGCTTAAACATATTCGAATCGAAATACAAATCACATTTCTTCAAATCAATCAAGTATGATGTCCAAATTGCTTTGACCATTTTAGACATGACATGAGCAAGTATTTTAACCCCTTCTCCCTCGTGTTGTTCCTGTACCCTCATAACTGAAACTGAAATTCAAGGAGTTGCTAAAATAACAAAAAATGATACCCATCAATTTCTTAAGTATCCAAATTTGTCTTCAAATTTGTCAAAAGTGTAAGAGAATAGCCTTGCAATAAAATTGAATCTGAAACCAAGACATCTGATCTGTGATTTTAGCCAAATGTTTAATTTATCTTCTATTGTCTGAACAATATTAGAATTAGTGTCACCTTCAAGGTCCTTTAGAAATTTATTAAATGAAGGACATTGTGAGATGTAAACCCAATCCCTCATCCTTTAATGACCTTACATCTGATTGGTAAGTTACTCTGACATATGCTACGTTTACATGTTGCAGCAGATAATCTGAAGATTTGGGCAGCCATCTTGTTTTTGTTAGTATTGTTTTCTGCAGTCCTGCTGCAGGCCAGTAGTTTTCAATAACACAAGGCGGAGTTGAGTCAAATCAGGCGGAATTTCATAACCCATTCTATTTTTTTATCTGTAATTTGACTCCATTGTGATTTTTGTAAGAAATGTCACTGACTGGTCAAACAGACAGACTTCAGAAAGACGTGTGTGCATCATAGAAAAAAAATTATTAAAATGTTTTTCAACTTTGATTGAAGGTCATGAATAAATTCCACAACCCTGCTGTTTCAAACAATGCGACAGATTTTTTTTCATCAATTTTATGACAACATGGTGTCTATTACACCCAAACATTAGACATTGTTGCTAGGCAGTGAAGCATTGTGGGTAAATGAAGTGATATTATGATGAGTTCAATGACACCATGTTGGGAAATGGTGATACAGTGAACATACGCCTGACACTTGTTGCTTGGGGCTGTTTTAATTGTTATTACATGATTGTCTATTAGTTTAGTCGATTACCTATCCAAAATCTAATATGTTTATCAAAACATTACTTGACAGACAGACGGCATAAAATTACTCTCTGTTGAATAAGGAGGTAAATAAAGCATACTGTGCAGGTAATTTCCATATTGTTTTCGATTATATACTTGAAATTTCAATAGATTATCAACCTTTTTTAATCTGAAAGGACCCTGTCAATCAAAGATGTCTAAATCTGACCTTGAATATATTTTTGAAATAGGTTTGTACATTAGAAAAATTTTCTCGATCCCCAAAGAATTTTTTATCTAAATAATTCACAATGATCCACACAATTTCATCTTTCTATTATATCTTCACAACAGTCAAGATATTATGTCTTCATGTTAAACATTGATTGCAGTGGCAAACTTTCTTGTATCACAGAAGTATGTGAATACAGCAATTTGATTGGATTGTACGCTAGCAAATACTGCCAATCTGAGCCCTCTACAGAAAGACTGTATAAAAATAGAAGGCTCTGATTAGATTATTTGCTGGCGTACAATCCAATCAAATCTCTGACTGTGAAACAAGAAAGTGAGCCATTATAGTATATACAGTAAAAGACAGAATGCTTTGACCACTGTGAAGATGCTTAAAGTAGGCCTACAATGGTTAGAAGCTTGAAAAACATGGTGAATGCGTTAATAAAATGTCTTAACAAATATCACTGAAGGTTTCAGACTAGACCTATAAAGTTGGAATTATGAACAAATTTAATGATTTACAAAATGGTTTTTGAGGCAACAATTCAAGAAATGATTCATACAAGCCTTTGTGAAAAGGTTGAGACCTGCATGTAAACTTTGCTAAAATAAATTTTTGTTTTCAAATTTATTAACCACATCAGTGATGCAGTAGCATACACGACAAGCTCATAATTTCTTCAGTTAAAAGTTTGACGGAAAAACATTAATTTTCTGACAAAATTACTTTCAGAAGTCAAAGTGGCGACATTAAATTTGTTAACAAGTTTTTTAACATGTTTCTCACCCTGTGTGTATAGGTAAGACTGAAATGTCGGCCATTTATTTTCAAAATTTACGACTTTCTGACTGTTGAAGAAGGTTCATGAGAAAACACTCCAAGTTCATGTAAAATTAATGTCTTCTGTAATTTTCTTATTAACACCTCATTTTACACTGGCTGGCCTCCAAAAAAATATAATAAATCTACTTTTGTCTGTAGTATATCTTTTGTCTTAGAAATGTTAAAAAACAAACTATGTATGTTGATATTTACTATCTTAGCTCTTTCCGTGTAAATTTGAATTTTACGGAACGATTCTGGGTAAATTTAAATTTAAAATATCAAAACAGTAAACTTATTGAATAACATTGGCACACATTTTCACAGAGAAGGATTTGTGGTCGATTTCCAGGTAATATTTTGTTTGTTGTTGTAAATGTAACAAGAAGCTGATATTTTAATTCATTTAAAAATGATCAGTCAAATCAAAAATATAGATGAAAGTGCCAAGACAGTTGTTTCCTAAGAGTAATTTTTAGAGTAATACCATTGCAACATTCTGCAAAGCACAATTCTAAGTGGTTTCAGTTTCCAGGTTTTTGTGAAAATTACCTTTACCTGTTAATTGTCCAGATGATGAGCACTCCTTATTGTTTTAATTTAAGTATACTGACTTCACTGTGCATTTATTGGAATTTTACTCTCAAGTCACCCTCATACATTGAGCAAGTCAGTTACATATTTTAGGCGATTTTTTCCTCAAAAACAACATGCCAATAGTGCTACAGAAATGAAACTTACCAAACTTCGAACACTAAAAACATGACAATAATGTTTCGCTGTTTCTCTATCTTTAGTTATATAGGCAAAGAAATTCAAGTGTTCAGCATCTTGACAAGCACAAAATATATTGGCAATTTCATGATCACAGATGACTTTCTGAAAAAAAAAAGGATGAAGATCGAGTTATTGCAACATATTCATAAGTTTGTTGACAATGAAGTGTAACTATTCAATACACACATGACTGGCTAATGGTTTACAAATATCTGGATGATTATCAAAGTTCATGTTTGATGAAAGTTGATGAAATTCGTTGACAATGGAAAACAAAATTTCCAGACGAATTGATGAGATTTCACTGCAAAAGTTTTGATGTTTGAACAATTGAAGTTTTTGATAAATTGCTGGAAATCTCATCTTTGTAAGACATATAGAAGCAGGGAGGTAACCATTAAGAACACAAGTTATATGGATCGGATATACTACTTCTAGTTTATTACATACTATGTTTTGAAACACATACAGGTAACGTTATCAAGTAAAATGATTAACAACCATACAACACAAGATATATGGGTAAATTAATAGAAGCCATATCCCTTAATGGCTTCTATTTGATTTATTTATCCATACAACTTGTGTTCTTTGATGCAAAATCAGAAAACCCATTTGTCTAGAACTAAAATGAAATAAGTGGTTCTTTCAGACTTACCTTGGATTTGGCATCGATAAATTTGACTCCCCGATATGATATTGATAACATTATGGTTGGAATTTTGGCGATGACATCACTGGATTTCTGGAGAAGAAATATACAAATCAACTTAATATTAAATTTTGAAAAAAAACATATACTACTGTGCATGGTGCTCTAACAGTTACCAATATATTCATATATCCATAGATACTAATTGCTTTACAGTTAGTTAAAGTATTTCAGATTTATACTACTAACAATAATTATGCTCAAAAATTGTTTCTTATTCAAAATAAAAAGTGCAAAACTTTTTCCCTTTTCTTGTAACAAATTAACACAGTTTGTTTTAAGAAGAAATAAATGTGCTATCATTAAATTCATATAATTTATATGAAAAATAATACAAGTTGAAAGGTTACAAAAATGACCATAATTTTCACTGCACTGATAACCAAGTACCAAACATCCTCAAAATCTCTAAGGTATTTCCAATCATATTTCAGAAAAATGAAAAGGCATTAGTCAAAAACATCAAAGCAAGTGGATTGTCATTATGACATAAGAGTTCTTTAAGAAAGGCAATTTTTTGCCATATTTTTTATTTTTTCACACAAAAAAGGGTTGCCATGATAAATGGTTTTGAACTGGTCTTTGTCAAAAATCTTTAGTCCTATCATGAATTGATAAATTAACGCCAACAATAAGATTGAAAAAGCTTTCTTAGAAGTGAGAAAAATGAGGGCCGTGAAGGGAAAAAGAACTCATTTTGTAACGTGCTAGTTTTATTATTAATTTTTGATTCAGTCATAGATTTAGTAGCAAAAGATTTGAGACCCGTTCAACCGTGAGCAGTTTCTTTAAGATTTTCGCATGATTGGGCACGGGACACATTTTTCACTGCGATAACTGCAATCGGTCTAAAATAATAAATCTGAAAGGCAATGATGCAAACTTAACATTCTTCATCCCAAACATAAGGTCTCATTTCTAATTGATTTCACTCAACTTATCCATCATCACTGATCACTTTTACGTAAATTTCCAGTCTCTGTCTTATTTTTGATGTGTCGCGAAAGGAAATGAATGACTCGGGCATGGTGTGAATAATGATAGTTCCATACTTATTGTTTAACCAAGTGGACACGAGTTGTGTCAGATCCTTTCCAACTAGGTTCAAATCAGAAGAAAAATGAGCTTAATAATCCATCTTTATTTGAGTGTTTTTTCTCTTATCGAGGCCATGATGGTGGAAAATATTTGACACTTGCTTTCAATGTTGCATGAAGCTATTGTTTAAAGAGATGTCCATTTTGGTGGTCTAACAATGGCAATTTTCGACTTGAAATGCTCGCCAAGATTTTAAGAAAAAGAGTAATTAAGAGAAAAAAATTGATGAAAAAGTTGAAAGAATGATTATTAATCATGTACGCTAGTCTGTCAACAATGTTGACACAACTGAGATGGACTGTAAATGACCATGTTTGTTAAACACTTCTAGCAGTCAATCATAGACACAAACATATTGTTACAAGAGACTTCTTTCCCACATTTTAAATCCAATTTTTGCACAAAGATTTATGGAAATCATGTTTTTCATTTGGCTGGCTCTCCCATGTTAGCACATCGAAAATATAAAGCAGAAAATCTTATTTTGAAACAGTAGGCCTACAATTCATATTCTCATTACAGTACTTGTCACAGCTACATGTATGATTTGGAATAAGGGTTTGGTAAAATAATATAAATAGTTGATAATCGTCCCTAGGAATATGTAATTGATTAAATGTCAGTGATGTCAATTTCTAGAACATTGTTTCCCTTTAGCACATCACTTATCCACAATAAACTATAATAACCGATCAAAGAAATAAGATACTTCAATGACACAAAAATAACCCATTAAATTTAAAATTGTGACATAATTTTTATTTAGTATTTAAGATTTCTCACTTAAAATATTTTGATGCCGTCATTAATCAATCTTAATTTGTTAAACGATACCCAGTCCTAATTGGAATAAAACCAAGTTGATTCCAAATCTAATTTGCCTGTTTGTTCTTAAAATTCCTTATTCTAGATAATTTTCACATTCAGATGTTTTAAGGGATTTTGTTAATAGTGAAAATCTGCATAATCACAAATTAAGATTGTTGCTATATTTTAATAACATGCTGAATATTACTAAATAAACAAGTCTTTGCCTGTTAAGCCATACATCCACGCAACTTGATCTTTTCAGAAAAGCAATTCTATTAAGAGTGGCATGATATATCAGTGAATCAATGTATTGCCTTAAGATATGCCACCATATTCATATCGTATCACGTGGTCGTGCATTTATAGGCCCTACTTCTCATTCCCTAAAAAAAAGTGGGCACTCTCAAAAGTTGGTGAATAGAATTAAAACTTTTTCTCACTGACTTGACTGAAAATGTTTGAAACTATTTATAAGACAGTGGACTCCTACCAACTACAATACCAAATATCACAGTTACAAAGTTAGTGTGATTGAAATCTCATCAATAAACATAGGCCACCAAGTTTCAAATCTGCTGATTGCCTGGTCAATGGCAATAACTCCAAAATTATTCATGGAAAAAGTTTTTTAGTGTAAGCTTATACAAGCCAATTTTTACATATTTGGCTTAGTCATAGGCAATCAATCAATAACTAAGTATTGAAGAAAATCAAAATCTAGTCAAAATCTAGTGACATGGTGGTCTCCATAATAGAGCAAATGTGAAGGGACATGCAGACATTGTATAAAAAAAAATGATGAAACTTCCCTCAAAATCTTTCATACAAAATAATTTCACATAGATAAAAGCAAATGAAACAAAAATATTTTAATTACATGTATCAAATTTCAACCAAATGAAAACAATGACAGTAGCTAAAAAGTGAGTTGCAAACAAGAAATGGCTATTCATAGTCACACTGAATAGAAGGTTTTCTCATGCTATCAACATGTTTTGAATAAAATTGGGGGTCACATTAGAATTTGTCCATTCATTGTGATTTAGCCATCAAAAAATAAAGCTTGACAACATCAAGACACACTCAAAATTACCTTCAACTTCCTCCTCAGTCTTTGCTATCAGATGAAGAATAATAATGTATCAGAAGTGATGTAAGGGGGATAACTCTAATTCAATAAATCAAGAGTCAGACCACAATAAAATTATAGCTAACATATCCAGTCAAAACTTAATGTTATATTGTGCTGGGTCACAGATCATTTTATGCTTGTAAAAATGGACCTTTTTGGCAAAGTTAAAAAGGAATATCAAAATGCATGGGGGATCAATTTCATTGGAATTGATAGCTGACCCATTCATGCACTTTAATCCAAGGTATTTGGCACCCACAAAAATCAGTGTGTTTCTACATACAGAGTTAGCTAGAGTACAAACTTACCTTTAATTTGGCAATTCCTGCTTGAGTAGATTCTGGTCCATTTAATTCTTTAACAAGAGTTGAGCCCAAGTACTGTAAAAAAAAATGTGGAACGGGGGTTTGAACTCTTTTACAACTTGTTATATTGAATGTCCAGTTGAATCCATAGTCCTCAATGGTGCAGAACCCACAAATCAATCAGGCCCACTAGAGTGATTTTACAATTTAATACCAAATGTTTAACTATTGTGAAGTTGGTGCAAAGTCCTTATTTGAAACAAAAATTGAAAGTTTTTTTTAAAAAAATAACAGAGTAATATTTTCCTTAGTCTTACCTGAGAGGTATAATTACAGCAACCTTTGATTAATACTTCAGGTCGATGTCTCCAGTGTCTAATAGAACCAGTAGTATGAGCTAGATGAGGTGGGCGTATATGAATCGTGCTGTCTTTAATGCTTTGACTCTGAAAACATATTAAATGAAATGTTACCTTCAAGTCGTCTGTTCTCGTGGGGTAATATATATATTTTCATTCAAACTCAGAAAATATGGTACAACTTCACATCAATACAATTACGATGTACAAAGATGATGAATGATTTCTTTTATGTTAGTGTAATCCACTTTGTGTTCTTTTGACTCTATCAATGACGTCATATCTCTAAATGCTGCTGCATTCTGCGTATTTTCTGCAGTCTCGTGATTGGCGTAGGGTATTACACGCTATATAATTTATGTTACAAAGGAAAAATTATATTTATGACAAATATATGATAGGGTGTTACAAGTGGCAGACTGGCTTCCATTAAAAGCAAGGTTACTGCACAACTTAATACATTCATTCTTATTTAAAAGACATTTTTAAAGAACTTAAAAAATATCAGATGCAGTTGATTTTCTACAGGAATGGTATAAAAATTTTGCTGTGGAATATGTTAACAGTCTGTTACACATGAACACAATTTCTATTCAAGTGAATGGCCAGAAACTTTGCTGAATTTCTTAAGCAGCATTATTGAGGAGGGAAACCAGGTTAAAATATACATAAGAAGGCATACAACTAAGGATAGTGCCTTAAATCGTCATTTCAGCAAACAAGTTTTAACTCATTGCACTTCAACAGCTTCTTATACAGATTGATTGACTTACCGAAAATTGATTAACAATCATAAAAGGTCACTGCAGATCAGAAAGATTGGATTGTGTTTTTTTAGATATTTTACATTATGCACTACTTGAAAATGTTATTCCTCTTTGAACCTCTATTCATTTCAGAGCATATGAATAAAATTCTACATACCTGTTTGGAACTTTCATCACTATCTTGACCGTCTGTCATAACCAATGAATTCTGGGAAGGTGTATCTTCTCCATCGTCTGACAGGCGTGATTTGACCCCTGTATAATCTTTATAAAGGTCAATATGTTCAAAAGGTGAACTCACTTCTTCTGAATGGTCAATGATCAACATCTACAGAGACAAAGAACAATATCAACTATTTAGGGATAAGAAGTTGATTCCAAAAGAAGCTAATCAAAATTCTCCAGGACAAATCTTCGACAATGATTGGTTTATATTTTGTCAAAGGCTAGTCTTATAAAAGCACTGGAAGTGGCATCAGATTTATTTTTTTGTAAAACAAAAGAAATTCAGAGTCTTATCATTTAGCAAACCCTTATTTTCTCACTGCCGAAGGAAAGCTCAACTTATACTGTAATCTCAAAGACTTAAAACGATTCAATCCAGCTTTTAAGAAATACTGTAATCTGATTGGATGATAAATATTAATTCAGAATCGAATTTAAAAATTGACCAATCTTTTTAAAAGAGCAGAGGCATACTACAAAGTCAACCATAATAATATCTGAAAAAAAAAACACTTACTGGCGTTTGAAGAGTGGTTTCTTTTTTATCAATAGCTGGTCTATCACCTAATGATGCTAAAATACGTCTCCTATGACCAACAGAACTTATATCTAATACCTATAAGGGACATTATAAACCATTGTACATCTCTTCAGGCATAATTAAGTTTAGGATGAGATCAATGCTGTTTGAAAAATCTTCTTTAGATTGTCAATGTATGTATCGATATAACTTTTCAAAAAATATGATAAAGAAAATAGTTGCTATGAAAAATTTCTGAATTTTTGCTGATCATCAAAATCATTCATATATATTTTGTATGATAAATTTAATATAATCATGATTATTTACTATGATTCAGAGTATGATTACAATTTATAGATTTGGAGGATATCCTTCAATTCTACTCCTGAGTAGGCAGGATAAACCTTATGCAGTGTGCATTGAGAGCATTTTCTATATTATGCAGTGTGCATTGAGAGCATTTTCTATATTTACCTACTTTTAATTCTTAAAAGATCTGAAACATGTCAACAGTTAACAGTATCAATCGGTTCTCATTCTATACTAGGATTTGAGACCTAGACTTCAGGGTTAACAAGTATCTAAATTGCCAGGGAAGCTAGGAAAACATCCCTCCAAAGAAATCAAAACTTACTGTAGAGAGTTCCAGCTCCCATAATTTGACTACTCTTTCCATAGAATCATAGCCATGTGATTTAAACGTATCATAATAATGTTCTAATCGTAAAGATTTCAACCAATCTTCAACTGAGGTGGGTAATTTATTCTGGTCTGAAAAAAAAAATCAGTAATCAAAATTATTCATTACCTTTTGATAAAAACATAAAGAGATTGTAAAAAGCTTTCTCAAATTTTTATGTGTATCATTTGGGGCCTTAAGTGATTAAAGTATATTCTGCGATTAGTGATATCATCTAACATTTAGTTTTAGTGGAATTGATTCTATCAGTGTTGCCAATACACATTAAAAATGTAGAAAACCTCTTTACAATCTCTTTATATCATACAATTAATCCTCTTTATAGAATCAATATTATAATTTTTTTCTCAAATACCCTTAAAATCATATATAATAAGGCTATAAATTTTTCATATTTCTAATTTTAAAGGCAACTGAATGCAGAGAAATTTGCTTAAACCCACACACTTTTAGAATGCAGAAAATTGCAAGTTTCAACCTTTCAACTAAACAAGGGCTTGATTTTTTTTTGAGAGGTAACAAATAAGCAATTGATCAATATACAACTTACCTATTGGTTTAAGAGGAGGTAATAATTTAGATGATTCTAAAATTCTCTTTCTATGTAGCATATCTTTGATACCTATACCTTCTATTTCACTATCTTCTAATATATTAGAACCCTGAAAGTTATTAAGAGAATTAACAATGAATATGGTTTTGCATGGTTTTGATTCCAAGTGAAAACTTTTCCTTCTTTAAGCCAGGCACAGAGGTCCATCTTTCATCTGTTCACTCCAAAAAACATTGTTATATATTACACAATATGGACATAGTTCAAAAATGTTTTGCATATGCGGCTTTGTCACATGACTTTTGTCTCACGTGACCACAATTTTCAAATAATATTTTATTTCACACGATTAGATATTACATCTTGTTGCAAATGATTTTTTGTGGACAGATAGGTTTTGTAAGGATGTTCCTGAAACATTTGTCCAGAATTTAAACAAATGTTTTTAAAAAAATAATGTTTTTGGTAATGCACATGATGGACAAAAGGCTATGGTTGTGTCAGTATCATAGGGTACGTCAAGGGCTTACCAAGAAGTCTGTATCATCAAAACCATTAGCTATGAGAGTGTTTTCATATTGTCCTAAACCTATAATTTCTAACCATTCACCTACACCATGTATACTGTTAGTACCTAAATAATAAATAGTTTATTCTTATAATTGGAGTTATATTCCACAAACAAATTACCTTAAACACGAATCTTTATCAATTTCCTTGTTTTAAGCAAGAGTGGTTGTAACAACAAGATATAATTTAAATCACAAAAGCACAGGTCGAAGTGAAAATTCAGCTACAGGGTTATTTTGAAAGCTTGAGTGCTCTTAGGATATAGTTTTCAAAATGTTTGCTTTACAAGGTAGAATTAAAAACTGATGCAGATATATATGCCTAATGCTGTTGATGATCTAAAGCGATCCAGAGGTAAATGCAACTCCGCAATAGCACTATATCAGCTGATAAAGATCATGTAACACAACAGTCTTGTTGATCAATCTTTTTTCAAATGGATATCAAAGTCATACATCTTCAAAGCCTGATCACAATAAATTGCTTTCAAATAGCATGAACAAAACAAAGCTTATCCAGTTCTCAAAACTAATCCATAAACCTTCACAAATTAGCTGACAGATTGAGACTAGGCTTGTGTGCTGTTTCTACTTTGCTTGATGCACATTCTAGAATTTTCTTTCTTTTGATTCACTGCACATAAAACTACAAATTTCGGGTGTCCCAAAAAACGGTTGCGATTGGTGGTCGAAGAAGATGGAGAGCACACATTTAACACAGGTTAAAAACTAGGTAAGTTGCCTTGATACTGTATTTTTTGCTATTTTGTTCAGGGCAGTACATGTACAAATTTTATTCAACAACTTTCGTATTTTCAGGGTTGGACAACGACATCTAGGTATATCTGTGAGAATTTTGAAAGGGATCAGTTTACCAACATCTGACATACTACCTGTCGAATTTTGGGACATTTTTTTGGGACACCTGATATTACATACCACATGAATATAAGCCTACATTCATTTCAAGCCATCTGAAAGCCTGAGCTTTTAAATTAATATGCATAAGAACATGCTATGTGTATAAATATTCCTTGAACTTTGTCAACATGCAAACAATATTGCAATAGGAGAAGGAACTACCTGCTATTAATCTTGCAAAATCAGCCTCATATTCTTTAACAAAGACAGATTCACGAGCTAGTCCAGCACCAAATGTGGCTAAGGTTGCTGCAATCTACAAACAAGGAGAAACAGGCATCATGCACATGCATTCAAATATGACTTCCAGAACTAACAAATTTCAGAGTTACTTCCCTTTAAACCAAATGCACTAGCAGATGTGTATAAGGAAAAGATCCGTTTGAGGTTCAGGGAATGTTCTCTGATTACATGCACACTGTAAATGGTATTTTCAAAAATATTGAGGCCTAATTGGTTTAGAGTAATGATCATGCTTTCAAAATACAAGTATTGGACAACATAAACAATACATAATGTATAATCTAGAATACAGGCACTGAAAAATAAGGTTTGGCATTCTAGAGAGGTCATTCACAAGGGCAGGCATTTAATACCTTTATCTGACAGAATTTTGTCCATGTGAGCCTCAAACATGGCATAATCGCCATGGAGACTAAATCGACCGCCATAACTGCTCACAATTTCTTCAATCTGAAAATCCATGCACAATAAATATTTCAATATGTGGATCTTTTTCACGGAAGAGGCAAGATGGTTTGCAATGCAAGGTATTTCAAACCAACCAATCAAACCTGTTAGACTGGTAATTTTCAATATTACCAAGTTTCGTCAAAATCAATCAAGACTTGTAGCTTCAAGAGTTGTGATTGGCTAAAAGTTGAATGCATTTCCAGGAACAAGGGCAATAACTCATACTAAATATTTTTTGACTTTAATGATTTTTAATAATTTTAATCCTTGGGAGATTATAAACAATACTGCCAGGTTATAAAAAATTTGTCCAGAATTCTGCCATCTAGAGTGTCTAGCAATGAACTGATGGACCAACAGATTGGTGATAAAAAAAAACAGGTTTAGATTTGCAAAATATTGTCTTTGTTCTTTCCATATATAGTTTCTATGGTTTTCCAAGACGGAAATAATAATCCTGTCAAATAGTTACTATAAACAATGATCGAAGGAATGTCAGACAGGAAAGTTAACAGTTTCTCTCAAAGGCCACAAAACCTCTTGAAGGAACAAAAAATAAAACATTACCTTATTCCATTCTTCAGCATCATCAAAGACAGAAGAATCATCAGATTTAGAAGATTTGATGTTGGATGTATTGTGTTTAGTTTCAAGAGCATCAATGGCGGCTATGACTTCTTCAGTATCAATCTCTTTCTCTTCTTCCTTCTCCATCAAGGGGTCAAAGGTGAAAAATGAAGATGGAGCCGAGCGTCTGTTAGATTTGATACGTTTGACAACTACATTTTCACAGATTTGTGACACGACACTACGAGAACCGCCTGGTGCTGAACCTCTTAGTAAACCTGAAAAACATAACAAAGTACCCCAAATTTAATATATTATTTAGCTATCTGAACCACTTTTTTTGCATCCGTGTTTAACAGATGATACTATGCAGGGATAAAGCAATATTAAGAATTTCATTTCTCAATCCTGAAAATGGTGCCTCTTCACTACACTATGTACTACAGTGATTTAAATCTGAAAATATGTCCAAAGCATTGGCAAGGAAGACAAACTAAAGAATTGCATGCTGTATATATCCAAGCTAAATGACTATTGTTGAAGAATCAAGAAATCAATCAAACACCCAAATATCAAAATTTCAATTTACTGAAAAAAAACATATGACAGCAAAAAATAACAAGCTCTACAGCTCAACTGAAAAAATAAACCTGAATTTCTCATCAACACTTTCATCTGACCTTTATAATTTGTATTCAGCCTAATATTTGAAGGCATATATGGATGAACTTGAACATTTGTCTTCGTATGAGACAAATAGTTCTTTGATAACTTTCTCCAAAATTGTGACAATTGTTGAGGTTTTCGCCTAGATTTTGAAATTTTCTTAGGAGACTTGTAAGGGAAACATTTAGAAATCCTTCGAGCTATCTGTACATCATTAAAACTGTTAGGCTGATATTGAATCATACTGGCAGGACTCCTTCAAAATTAGTATTAGATATTTTTGGCATTTGTCCTCAACATATATCTTGACATTGAAAGGGTTAATCAATAAGCTTTGAACTTAATTAGGATTACAAAAGATTGGGCATTAATTCGATTCTGATTATGGACATGCATTGTAAAAACTGTTGGTTTTGGTAATTAACAAAAGAAACCTATTTCAATATTTGGATAAGTTCAAACAGTTTCTTGATATCATATATATATCAAATACAAGATAACTTTAATCACATTGGAAGTCAATAATTTGAAATAAAAACACAATCTGACCAATCTACCTATGAAAATATTGAACTTTTTGATGTATGCAAACTTTCACAAAAACAACAATAATTGTTGACAAAAAATGAAATGAATGGAGTTTTACATCCTTCTTTTCTGCACCATGTGTGCAATGAGGGAAATTTTGCCAGGACAGTGGCATTAGCCTGCTCTTTTTCGAATCGTGCATAGCCTGTAGCACACAGGGCCTCTGTTTATTGTCCCATCTGAACCACTAGACACTTTTTCCATGTCAGCCCCTTTTACCTGCATCACTGACAGGGGGAAATTCGAAGGTATGATCTTGACCCATGCCGGGATTGAACCCTGGACCTTCAGGTTAGCGAGCAAGCGTGTAATTCACTGAGCCACCGCGGCTCCCATTAATTTGTTGACGATAGAACTTTTATCCATTCAATTTTCAATCTAGAAATGAAAATATTTATTGCTTATTGTGTAAATTGCATATATACTTATATTTATTCCTACTTTGTAAAAATGTTTTTTGTGACCAGAGAAATTGGCAGCAAGACATTAACACCTTTTCATTAGATACTTAACAGATACAATAAGGCAGTAACATCATTTCACTGGTTGATAAAAATTTTAATAGGGCGTTATAGAAATTGCACAGTTGAATAAAAATTAGATATTATAACCAGACACACCCTCTATTATTAGCATGATTTTCTAACTTATCTCTGATTTTTACAAACTTTAAGGCAAAACTCAGTAATTTGAATCCAGGCCAAATAACTGATGAAATAAGAAATAATAAAATAAAGGCAATTACACAACATGATTGAAAATAATTGTCTTCTTCACTTGAAATAAGCTAAAAAAAAGTCAAACATAAGAAAATAAATGCAAGATTTAAGTCCTTGTTAATTTCTAAAGTTGAATGTTAAGCGCATTAAGTTAAAATTGCACTTGTGTTGTGAATGAGATAAGTGCATTTTTATCAAAAATATAAGCAGTACCGGATATTTGAATTAGACTATTGATTAAGTACACATGTTAACAATAGTAATTCTGTTCCTTATTCCAACACCTGGGCTTATTTGGTTTTGTAAACAAACATTTAAAATCTTGTTTTCAGGTAGCAAAATGTTACATGAATAAAAAAGAAAAACACATTTTATAAATGTAACAACTTAAGTTCTTAAATGCCATTTTCTGGGGTTGATATTGGCCCTGAATATATGAAAATAGGCTTTATAAGCACAGAAATGTGCCAAATTTTGTTTAAATTCTGTCAAAAATACCCCAAACTAGGAATCTCCCTTTTTATCATTTTTTCTTTCACTTGTTTATCCTATGCCTGAAAATTAGGGTAGCCAGTAGTTGTTTGTCTTGTTAAAAAGGTATATAATAGGAAATACAGTATATAGATAGCCTCCTTATGTTTATAATGATAACATTGTCAGTAGTAATCAGAATGAAGGTATAATTATCAGATCTATAAAGACTAAGAAATATGCTAGAAACATTCCTTACTTCTCTAACCTTCCCCCTCAACTTATAAATATTTTTATTAACTACCTATATACTACAACTACTATTTACTGACTTATTTATTTTAGAGAGTATTGTCGATTTTTTTTTTTAGGACCAGCTGCAGACATATTGCTAGGTTAATGATAAGGGCACACAAATGTTTTTTTTTG